TGCGTAATATTTTCGTAATAGGAAAGGGTCGTCGGCAACGGGCAAAATGGCAAAGCCCTTACGGACGAACGAACGTTTTTTGGGACCCTAAGCCGCCTAGGTACACGTGAGCGCTAGAAGAATAGCTATCAAATGACCTACCCTTCCAAACTCTAATTGTTTCTCTGTGCAACGTCTTGCATGCCATTTCTGGATGGGCTGGTGGGGATACGCGAAACATACATCATTGTGCCTCATAGAGAAAAGTGCGCCGGAACGCTCGACGTATGCCGAACTGAATCCGAAGTATGCCGACGCGTCGCCCATGATGAATTAAGTCCAACAAGGCAGCCCAAGCCGCCTACGAGCTTCAAAATGACCAGGCTGAAGAGCTCGGAGGGTGTGGCGTCGACCCAGAGATCACTTTTGCTCCACGACGCACGATCCTTCCATTCATAAGCGTCCACGCCGCCGATACGAGAGGGGGCCCCGCGGAGCGTGGCCCCGTGGCCTCACGCCGCCGCCGCCGCTGGAGCGTGCGGGGGCCGCGCCGCCAGGAGCTGGTCTGTTCGTGCGGCGACCTCCTACCCCTGATGGGCCTGTGTTCTACCACCACCACCACCATAAGTTGGAGGGGGAGGGGGTCCTCCTCCTCCTCGTCGTCCTCCTCCTCCTTCCCCCCATCCAACCTATGGTGGTGGTGGTGGTGGATAACAAGCCCATCAATCCCTGCCCGTCTTTCTCGCCAACTGGGCCGCCCAACCTCCCGCTCCCGCGCCGCCCCCCCTGAAGACGGACAACACCCTCGCCCTGTGCCAACGAGGCGCAAGGCGTGGAGATTTTCAGGGCTCCTACAGGTGACCCTCCTGCTCAACCTTCATTTTCACAGCAACCCGCCAAGGCCCACCGAGCTCCCCCTGGGCCCCCACGAGGTCATCCGATGCCACCGGGGGCCCTCCGAGGAACCCTGGGGGACCCGAGGCTGGCCCACGTGGCCGTTGCACCCCCCTGCCCCTCCTCATCGTCGTCCTCCTCCTCCTCCTCCTTCTCTTCCTCCTCCTCCCTTTTCCTCCGTTGTTCGTCCTTCGTCTTCCGTCCTCTCCTCTCGCCTCCCTCCTCCCCATTTCCTCCTCCACCTCCTGGTGCCCCTCATCATCCCCGTCACCCGTCCCCTCCTCCCCCCTCTCCTCCACTTCTCTTCCCTCGTCCTCATCGTCGTCCTCCTCCTACTCCTCCTCCTCCTCCTCCTCCTCCTCCTCCTCCACCTTCTCGTCGTCGTCCTCCTCCTCATCCTTCTCCTTCTCGTCCTCCCTCCTCCTCCTCCTCCTCTGTTTTTCGTCCTTTGTCTTCCGTCCTCTCAACCCCCTCCTCCCCATTGTCTCCTCCACCTCGGGCTACCCCACTCCATCCTCGTCCCTCGTCCCCTCCTCCCCCTCATCTTGCCTCCTCCTCCTCGTCTTCCCTCCTCCTTCGTGTTTCGTCCTTTGTCTTCCGTCCTCTACCTCTCTCGTCCCCATTTTCTCCTCCACCTCTGGCTGCCCCTCCCCATCCTCGTCCCTCTTCCCCTCCTCCCCCCCTCCTCCCCTCCTGTTCCCTCGTCGTCGTCGTCCTCCTCCTCCTCCTCCACCCCATTTTCTCCTCCACCTCCGGCAGCCTCTCCCCATCCCCTTCCCCCGTCCCTCGTCGCCTCTTCCCTCTCCTCTTCCCTCGTCGTCGTCCTCCTACTTCTCCTCCCTCCTTCTCCTCCTCCTCCTCCTCCTCCTTCTCGTCCTCCTCCTCCTCACCTCCGTGTTCGTCCGTTGTCTTCCGTCCTCTCACCTCTCTACTCCCCATTTTCTCCTCCACCTCTTCCTGCCCCTCCCCCATCCCCGTCCCCTCCTCCCCCTCTCCTCGCTTCTCTTCCCTCGTCGTCGTCGTCCTCCTCCTCCTCCTCCTCCTCCTCCTCCTCCTCCTCCTCTTCCTCCTCCTCCTCCTCCTCCTCCTCCTCCTCCTCCTCCTCCTCCTCCCTCCCCCTCCCCTTTCTCCTCCTCCTCCCCCTCCTCCTCCTCCTCCTCCTCCTCCTCCTCCTCCTCCTCTCCTTTTTTCGTCCTTTGTCTTCCGTCCTCTCACCTCCCTCCTCCCCTATGTTGTCCTCCACCTCCGGCTGCCCCTCCCCATCCCCGTCCCTCTTCCCCTCCTCCCCCTCTCCCCCCCTCCTCTTCCCTCGTCGTCGCCGTCGTCCCTCCTCGTCCTCCTCCTGCTCCTCAAATTCGTCGGCATATATACCCACCTGCTTCTGTTCCTTCTCCTCCTCCTCCTCCTTTTGCTACATACCTCGTGTATGGAGCTGTCTTGCATTGTAAATCCACCCACCGCCATCCAAAACATACGTACCACACACTGCAATTCGATTCAAGAGCGTAACCGACAGGGGACCCCCCTCCCCAAACAAGGAAACGCCGGCTTCGGAGGACGTGAGGAACAGAAACGTCAGACCATCTCCGCCCAGAGGGCTGGCAGGATTGTCACGACGGCAATGCCAACTTGGCTCTCTCGGCTGGCGAGATGCTCCGTGTACACAGACGGCTCCCTCCCCCTGCCCCCTTCGCCTGAGTCTGGAGGGGGGCGCGAGAGGGCCGGAGGGCCCCAAAAGTGGTCCAGCACAGCCGATGATGGCTCAGTACAGCTTCCGACATACCCGAGAAGACCCCTCTCCCTCCCCATCCTCCCCCCCTTCCTTCTCCTCCTCCTCCTCCTCCTCCTCCTCCTCCTCCTCCTCCTCCTCCTCCTCCTCCTCCTCCTCCTCCTCCTCCTCCTCCTCCTCCTCCTCCTCCTCCTCCTCCACCACCCCACGACAGCCTCAAAACGGCTCCAAATGCCTTCGGAGCCCTCACAGGAATCCCCAAGGAGGCCGGCATCCCGCCCCGAACCTCAGAAGCAAGTCTGCGCTTGCTTTCTCGACTCTTCGTCTCCGATGGGCCTCTGGCGCCCTACAGTGGCCCCAGGGAGCGAGAGGAGCCCGACATGGACCCAAGGCGGCCGAAGAGGCCCTCAACAGCGCCCCAGCAAGCTCCAACTCGGACATGTTATCCGGCCATGGGGGGACCCTAATTCAGGACCCCCTCGCCTTTTTGAGCCACTGGGCCCGAGATCGCCCCAAGAAGGCCCCGAGACCCCCCAACGGGCGGGGCCCCAAGGTAGCCCAAGCGTCCTCCACGAGGCTCCCACAACAAGTTGCCTGCGACGGCCTCTCCCATGTCTGCTCCCAATCCTCCTCGGCCTCCTCCTTCTCCCTCCCCCTCCTCCTGGCACTCTCCATCCTCCTGTTCCTCGATTTGATCATTCCCTTGTCCTCCTTACACCTGCTTGTCCAGGCATACTCATGGGCATCGTTTCTAGGTGGGCTGGTGGGGAATACGTGGCGCGATAATAATGCTCTGACATGGCGGAACATGTTTCAACACTCACTGGCTGCGTCTCAACGCGAAGCAACAACCGAAATCCCGATCTAACACGGACCACCTGTTATCTAGCCCAAACCAAATTGCGGGCCCAAACGCATTCAAAACTAGTCTCACGGGATTGAGTGGACAAAAAGACAATGCCCACTGTGGCTGTATTCTGTATACGTATGCTCCGCTGCTGCAGCCCTTCAGACCACTCTGCGTCTTGATTTTGAACCGATGCGCGAGGCGTGTTCTCGTTGTGTGCATCAACATGCCCGCCCAGTGCCCGACGGCACCTTGCCGTCGCTCGGACGGCCACTCCCCGTGCATTTTTCGCTTTCGTGCGCGTTTTGTTGGCTCGATGATATCCAGGCCGCTCCTCGATGGTCCTCGCCGAAACAGGTGCACACGTCCGGGCGATGCCAGGGCTCAGGAGGGCCGGGAATTTTGCGGGGGGCGGCTGGCACAGGACGGGGGCGGGGGGGGGGGAGAGGAGGCGCGCGGCGCTGCAGGCTCGGGCCCAGGGCCCCACCGGGACGGGAGGGCCGGGAAAGGGGAGGGGGCGGAGGGAGCAGGACGCGGGCGGGGGGGGGGAGGTGGGCAGGCGGCGGGGGCGCGGCGCTGCGGACTCGAGGGGAGGACCCAGACAGCACCGGAAGGCCGGGGCACCAACAGCAAGCGAACATCACTCCCCGCGCCGGACCACCTTGATTCGGCGACTCCGAAGGGTGTGGTTCGCACGGGGTGTGGGTTCGCAGCCCGCACCCTGGGAGGCGGTCGAGGACCTCGGCAGAGCTCTCCGCCGCGACCCGAGGGAGGCGGCCCGACAAGGGCCATGCGGTACCCCCCTCCTTAAGCCCGAACGATGCAAATCGCAAACCACACCCCAGCGTGGCCATGCCCTCAGAGTCTTTAGAGCAGTCGCCGATTGGTCCCCCCTTCCGTGTATACCAAGACGTAATTACCGATACCGCTGCTCCCTGGACCTCTCTCTCGGGGGGTGCGTGCGGACCAGCATCTCGAGACGCATCCAGCAGTGGTGACGAGGGCCTCCCAAGAGGCCCCAAACGACAGAAGCGGGGCAAAGGTCGCGGCATGGGTACAGACCCTTTCCTCCTCTGACCTCCCGGCCCGGACCCTTACACCCTCCGACCCCCCAGCCCCTCCTTCGATGTACTTTCCTCCCCCGTCCTTGATATTGCGATCGATGACATTCCGCCAACCTGACCTCTTACCCTTGATATCCCTTCCTCCTCTGACCCTCGATATTGCGATCGGTGATCTTCCGCCCATCTGACCCCTTACCCTCGGTATCCCTTCCTCCTCTGACCTCGATATTGCGATCGGTGACCTTCCGCCCACCTGACCCCTTACCCTCGGTACCCCTTCCTCCTCTTGACCTTGCTCTTGCGATCGGTGATCTTCCGCCCACCTGACCCCCCAACTACCCTTGATGTCCTTCCCTCCTCTGACCTCGCACCCCTCCCGTGCCGCGGCGTGCCAAACCCCCCCGGGGGGCGAGGGCGCCGTCCGCGCCCCGGCAGGCTCCTCGCCCGTCCAACGGCGCGCCAGGCCGACATCGCGCCGCAGCCCGGCTCAGCCGGCCGGCGCCGCCTGCCGCGGGGGGGGGCGCGCCCCCGGACCGCCGCCCCGCGCGCCCGTCGTGGGCCGCCGGTGGCGACGGGCGCGGGGGGCGAGGAACGGGGGGGGGGGAACGAGCAGCGGCATATGCGGGACAGGAAAATGACCACAGCCACTGCTTCCTGTTTGCGCCGCCTTCCAGCCGGCCGAACAAGAACCGGTGGTCGTGGTCCTTTCCCTGGTGCCAAGCTTCACGAGAATGACCACAGCCACTGCTTTGTTTCTGCTGGCTGGAAGGCGGCAACAAAAGAACAGCAGTGGCTGTGGTCGTTTTTTTGCGTCCCGCAGCAGAAGCGTAAAAGCTCGGAGGTCCGCGCGGAGTTCTCGGGGTCGGCGCTGGACCCCCCTGGCGCCAGCGCCGATGCGAGAAACCCGCGCGGGCCTCCGAGCTTTTCTGTTGATGCCTGTGTCGTTGTTATCGTTCGTTCCCCCTTAGGGAAGGGGCGGGCCCTCCGAGAAGGCTCGGGAGTCCCCCGGCCTTCCGAGAAGCTTCCCAAGCCTCCCCCCGAGACACCAAAACACTTCTCAGAGGGCGCGAGGGCTTCTGAAAAGTCCCGCCGCCTGCTGAGAAGGCCTTCTCCTTCTCACTTCTCCCCCTCGCTCGTCGCCGACACTGGCTTCGAAATCTTCTATTTGCCATCGCTCGGACGTCTATTCCCCGTGCATGCTTCAGTTTGGTGTGTTATTTGTTCTGCAGGACGATCCAGGATGCTCTTAGCTGGTCCAAAGGCTTTGGCGGTAGGTCGGGCCTGCCCCCCTACAGGCGAATTTTGGACGAAGAATAAGACATAGTCCAAGAAATGCCATAAGAATGTTCAAACATTTCCAAAACATCATCCCCATACGATTTCTTGACTATTCTTGAATATTCCTCCTGTAGAGGGACAGGCCCGACTTAATTCTAGCGCTGGCCTCGCCGATTCAACTGCTCACGCCGGAGCGATGCCAAGCCTAGGCCCCCGGGGTCTTGCCCGAGGACAGCCACGACACGATGGGGTCCAGGGGCTCCAGCCGTCCTTTCTTCCGGCGGTGCCGCGGTCTGTTTCGCGGCGTCGGGCCTCGGGAAGGCGGGCGAGAGGGACGAGCATCGGAGCATGCAAGAGGGCAGCAAGCGCGCGACGTCGGCTCGCCGCACCTTCGGCACCTGGGGGTCGCTGCCAGGCCACGGGCCATCAGGAAGCGAAGTCTGGGGCGAGGAGATCGGCTCCGGGCAAAAAAGGTGTCAAGGGGGTCTGGGACACATGCGAACCGAGAACATCCGGCTGGATGTCGGGGGAGCGACCAGAGAAAGGAGGCCTCGCGCCCGAAGGTTCGGCGACTGTACGCTCACGCGGGCCGGCGCGGACTGCACGCGAGGGCACCGCCGGGCAGGGGGGACGCATCTCGTGGCGAGCGCTCCGACTCCACGGGAGGCACGGCGCGGGGAAGCGGGATGCCGAACGGGGCGTTGTTGCTGCCGTCTTGGGGCGCTGCGCGCTCTTGGGCAGGAGCGGCCGAAGCGACCTTCGAGGCCGGGTCAGTTCGCGCAGGCCAGCACCCTGGCGCAAGATTCACATGCGCGCGATGCACTTGGAACACGCAGTCGTGTGATCCTAGCTAGCTAGCTGCGCAGTGAGCCCAAAGGGTGCACGCTGAAGCCCTTGCTGGTGGATTCGACAAGTCGACGGGGCAACGTTGTGCAAGCGCGAACTTCAACGTGGAGTAAGAACACGGGGTTAAGGAGAGGAGGCGGCGCGGACAAGGCGGACGAGGAGCAGGGCGAGAGCATGATGCGGAAGGGGAGGAAGAGGAGGAGGAGGGGGGGGAGGAGGAGGAGGAGGAGGAGGAGCAAAAGCAGGTGGGGGGAGGGGGGACGAAATTGGGAACGGCCAGGGGAACGGAAATACTGAATGTACGAGAAGACGGAGGTGGATGCGGATATGATGGGTATGATGGTAGTGGCGATGATTATGCACTTCCCCAACAGATGAAGCAAGCGTCGATCTGATGTCAATCGGCAATCACCTTTTGGTTGCCTGAGCCCATGCAGGTCACAAAGCAGGCGGTCAACAACCGAGCCCATTTTCACGACAACAATTTTGGATGCCCGAAATGGGTACGGAACACATTTGCATAATGCCCAACAACACATGTTGTCCCAAACCAACAGTGGCAGCTGCTGGGCAGGCGGCCTTCTGTCTCGAATGGACACAGGCCGCGGCGGCGTGGACAGCGAGTCCTGTTCAACATGAACAGGAACTGCTGTTGGGCATTGTACCCACTCTTTCCGTACCCATGTCGTTCGTGCCGAGCAAGTGCACTCCGACATCCATGGGCAACTCACGGATTAGGACATCCATGCGCCCGGTAGACTACAGAGCCGCGGCGTCGAATGATGCCATCACGCTGGAAGCCTGACGGGCTTGGGCCGTGTGATCATGTTGATCATGTGGCCCTCCACACGGGGGCCGCCGGGCAGAAGACCCACGAAGCAGAGGCAGCGCTGGAACCGCCTCGACGGTGGAACATATAGCGAGGGGAGCGTTCGTAATCAACTCATCATCATCATCATCATCATCATCATCATCAGCAGCACGCAGAGAGACCTCAGAGCGATCACCGTCGTCGTCGCAGCCGCCGTGCTCCTCCCCGGGAGCCTCTTGTTACTTACGTGGCGGGCACGCCGCAGGCCGATCGGGACAGCCAGGAAGCCCCCCCCGCTGCTGGCAGGGGGCCCGGCGGGAGGAAACTCGCCCCGAGTGCGTGAGGCCCCACTTTCGGCGGCGGGCGGTCCATCGCTGAGGTTGATTATGATGATGCTTATGATGCTGCTGGTGATGCTGATGCTGATGCTGATGCTGATGCTGATGCTGATGCTGATGCTGCTGCTGCTGCTGATGATGATGATGATGATGATGATGGTGATGATGATGAGCGGTTGCTGCTGCTGCTGGTGATGATGATGATGATGATGATGATGATGATGATGATGATGATGATGATGATGATGATGATGATGATATTACGGGGTCGTCTGCGAGAGCAGGGGGTGTGATGAGTGCCACCATGAGCATCGCGGCGACGGTCGTGAACCCCACGAGCTGGAAGTCCACCACCGGCAGGAATCCCGCAACCGTGCCCGCCGGTGGTGCCACCACCAGGAACAGGGAACCCAGAGTATCATGAAGAGCATAATGAAGAACAGAAGGAGGAAACGGGCGACCAGCAACTCTTTAAATCCGCCACCAAGACCAGGAAACATACCATCAACGTCCGAATAATACTTTGAACAACAACACGCCCGCCTGGAACATGTCCACCAACAACAAACAAGAAATAATCCTGATCAAACCCACCGGCAAGAAACTCGCAACCGAGAAACCACCCCTACACAGACCCGGGGGAGTTCGAATTGCACGGAGAACCTACAACTCAATGAGCAAGAGCAGGAAGCCCAACGCCAAGAGCAAAATACCAACCAAAAGGAAACGCACTACCACGAACACGAATATTAAACTCACCATCAAGTTTTGTCGACCATGGGCCAGGCCGCACGACCAGACAGACGATGCACTTGCTCCTACGCCAAGCCCTCACCATCGCCATCACCCTGCTCCTGCTCGTCCAACTGCTCCTGCCCCTGCTCTTCATCCGTCCCCTCCTCCATATCCTCCTCCTCCTCCTCCTCCTCCTCCTTCTCCTCCACCATCTACCCCCCTCCCCCATCCTTCTCCTCCTCCCCTCCTCCCGCCTCCTCCTCTTGCCTCCCTCTTCCTCCTCTTCCTCCTTCTCCTCCTACCTCCTTCCCACCGCGCCTCGTCTGGCTTCGGCGTCCAGGTTAGGTTCGAGAAGGTCTGGCCTGGGCGCTTTCCCCAGATGGGGATCGAGGAAGCGGACGGGGAGGACAGGGGCAGGTGGAGGAGCAGCAGGAGGCAGGAGGAAGAGGGAAATGGGATGGGTGGAGGAGTGCGGAGGAGAAGCAGGGAGGAGGATGAGGAGAGTGAGGGGGTTGAGGAGGACGATGAATCGCCTAATTAAACAACAAGCCAATCAACCGAGTTGCCAGCCAGCGAACCGACAAGAGAGCCAACAAACCAAGCGACCAAGCGTGGCCACGCAAACAATCTGAGGGGGGGCCAGCCACAGATGGCGAATCCTTTTAGGTAGGATCGGCAGTGCAAACCGACTCTCGCAAAAATTGAGGGATGCCCAGTGTGCACATCTGAAGCTGCAGCAGTACCGCCGCGGGGGATAATTGTGACGATAGTTCGGCCTGTCCCAGCACCGCCCGAGATGAAGGGGTCATCATGGAACATATCGGCAGCGAGCAGCTCCGTAGCCGCGTCGAAACCGATGCGATAGCGGACTCGTCCATCAAAGACTGTGGGGGCGCCGCCCGAAGGGAACTGCTGCCCGCGGCGGCGGCTGTGCCCCACAAGGCCCCGACCAGATGGGTGTCGACGCATGGCGCAGTCGACTCCAAGCACTGCCAAACTCGGGCAGAAGCCCGATGACAAGCCGATGTCGGGGCGGTGTTGGCCGCTGGGAGGTCCGCAGCGAACGCCCCCCTGTCGACTTCCGACGCTGGGGTGTGAAACGCTCCCGCTCGCTCCGGCAATCCATGTCTGCGCACGCCAATAACGAGGCGGCCAGCCGTGCACGACAAGAATGTCTGCGAGCGAGTCGAGTTCGAGGATGGGTTGCGTTACTGCATCAGGCAGCTGCGCCATCACAGTCCCGAGCGCCGCAAGGCGATCACCTCCGTCGTTGGCAGCTCTTCGAGCCTGTGGCACTTCTAGCAGGGCGGCCAGGGTGGAGGGATGCGGCTGGAGGGTGAGACGCGACCCACCGCGACCCCATGAGGGCAGCGCCGACCTCGGGACCCAGTCTAGGGAGCCCACAAAGGACGTGCACGCCCAACCACGTGAATGAATACAGCCCCCCAATCTGCGAGACCAGCCTCGTGATACGAGCGCTCGCGCAGCGCGTGCTTTCAAAACCAACGTGGACTCATGTACGCGTACGTCCTTCTGTCGCTACTGACCAGTCTGGAGAGGGGCCCTGGGCCTGCCAACCAACGCCGGAGCCGAGGCTGCCAGCCGTCGCGCCGCAGCCGCCGCGCCTGGCCCTCCGGCGCACACAGCACGCCACAAACGCAGGCGGATGGACGTCGGAGAAGGGCGACTTGAGGCACTGGGTGCAGCGCAGGAGGACATGCCGAGTACCGCGGCCCTCCTCGGAGGCGTGCGTCCGACCCAGACGTGTAGCACAACCGACTTCTGATCTGTGGTTTCCCGAGCGGTGCGGCCAGGAAGCGCCCGCCACGGAGCTTAACTATACGATAAGATTACTCGGCGCGCGCGCCGCCCCTTGGGGTGGTCGGCTCAAAATCGGTCCCCAGACCCCTCTCGGGGTCCAAACGCATTGGCTGTTCCCCACACGTTTCGTGGGGTTATGGTGTTCTTCCCTGCCGCGTCCCACCCGCGAAGCTAACACACCACACCTCCCCCTTGTCCCTCTCCTTCTCACCTGCACTCGCGCAGCATACATACACACAGCACACATACACACATACACACATACACACCACATATCATGAATACACGCATCCGTTTCGGGCTCGCAAAGCCGCGCAACACATGACACACACAACGTTCTGGGATACAGGTACAGCCTACAGCCATAGGATTCGCAGCTATGCGTGTCAGGGTCGGAACGTGTGGCAGGCGTGACATAGTCTTCACATAACAGTGGGTGCGCAGGGGAAGGTGTCGTTATGTGCTTTCTCGACACCATAGGAGGCGCAGAAAGGCTGGTCGGTCTTTCTACGCGCCAATGTCGCAAGGCCTGGCAGGCGTGGCATTTTCTGGACACCAGGGGGGATGCGCAGGGGGTGGTCACTCACCGCGGTCTCTGTACGCGCCAATGTCGCAGGGCCTAGCAGGCGTGGCACTTTCTCGACACGAGAGGGGGGCGCAAGGGGTGGTCACTCACCCCAGTCTCTGTACGCGCCAATGTCGCAAGGCCTAGCAAGCGTGGCACTTTCTCGACACCAGAAGGGGGGCGCAGGGGGTGTTCCCTCACCCCATTCTCTATACGCGCCAATGTCGCAGGGCCTAGCAGGCGTGGCACTTTCTCGACACCAGATGGGCGGTGCGCAGGGCGTGGTCCCTCAGAGGGGTCTCTGTACGCGCCAATGTCGCAGGGCCTAGCAGGCGTGGCACTTTCTCGACATCAGAGAGAGTACGCAGGGGGTGTTCCCTCACCGCGGTCTCTATACGCGCCAATGTCTCAGTGCTTAGCAGACGTGGCTCGCAGGGACACCGCCAGCCTTCTGGGGCTTTTGGGCATGGGTTCGTAGGGGCTGCTCACCCTACAAAAACCCCACCACGCCCACCACGCCTGACACCGCCAGCCTTCAGGAGCCTTCGAAACAACATGTTGTTAGCATGTGCGCCGCTTGGACTGTCACGACGTGCACGATGGCCGAAGACGCCCCCAATGTCTCCCCAACACGACGCAAGAGAGCACCACACACAATTATACGCACTCGTCAAGGGAAGAAGGGCCGCCTCGCCGCTAACGGGTGGGTGCTTAAACCAGCGCCGCCCTTGAGACATCCTCACAATCTGCTTTGACGCACACCTTCTGCCCTTCTTTGGGGTCGGCGGCAGAGGCGGCAACCTTGAGATAAAACGCGCGTATTGGTGATAATTTTGGGTTAGGAGAGGTTTTGCATAGAAAACGGGTTGGTTGGGAATGGTCCGGGGGGGTCGGGGGGGATTTTGCCATGGACACGCTTGGGTTGGGAATGGTTTTGGTGGGCCGGGGGGAAGTTCGCAAATGCAGCGCAACGGTTGAGGGGGATTCTGGGGCTCGGGAAGATCTGCAAGACCGCGCTTGGGTTTTGACCTTTTATGGGGTCGTGCAACTGGCCATCGCTCGGACGTCCATTCCCTGTGTTTTTTTCGGTTTCGTGCGTGATTTTTTCCCCAAATGATCAAGGATGCTCCTCGCTGGTCCTCGCCAAAGGAAAAATGCACACGTCCGAGCGATGCCAGGGCAAGTGGGGCAGGGTCTGGGGATGGTGTCGGGTTTTCCACACAGAGCGCGTGGCTCGTCGAGGACTTTTTGTTTGGGAAGGATTTGGCCAGGAAAACTCTTCGGTGTGTACGGGCATCATATGTGGGCAGGAATTTTACGCAGATAAACGCCTGGGTTTGGAAGGAGGTTGGGTCGGGAAAAGATGCTGGACAATGCTTGGCTTGGGAAGGCTTTTTGGGGCTGGGAAGGGTTGCGCAAGGAAAACGCCCACGTTGGGGGTATTCAGGGGGTTAGAAGGATTTTGCAAAGAACACGCTTGGGTTGGGAAGGATGTTTTTGGCTTGTGATGGATTTAACCAAGGGCGCACTTGCTTTGGGAAATATTATGGGTTGGGGCAGGATTCTACACCCAACGTGCTTGGGTTGGGGCGGTTTTCGAGACTGGGGATGGTTTTGTAATGGAAAGCGCCTGTGTTGGAAGGGATTCTGTAATTCGGGAAACTTTTGCATAGAAAACGGCTGGGTTGGCAAGGACAGCGGTCGGGAAACATCTCACAAAGAAAACGCCAGGGTGAGGATGGTGATTCGGTTTGGGGGGCGCTTTGCAAAGAAAACGCATGGGTCCGGACATGCTTGGGGGTTGGGAAGAGTTTTGTACAGAAAACGGTTGGGTTTCGGCGGATTTGGGGGCCGGGAAAGGGAATTCTGGGGCCGGGAAAGTTTTCGCAATGGAGCGCTTGGGCTGGGGCGGGTTTGAATTGGGGGGGGGCGCGCAGAAAAGCCGCGTGGGCTGGGGGAAGAGGGGAGGATTGGGGGGGGGTCGGGAGACTTTACGAAAAACGCGCTCGGGTTGGGAAGGAGCTCGAGGTTGGGGATGGTTTTACATAATATATATATATATATATATATATATATATATATATATATATTAACCTGAATCCGGAGTCCGTAAGCAACGTTTTTGAAGCCAGGGTGGGTCCTGAGTGTGTCCGCGCGTCCCCCGGTGACCGTCCTCCTGCTCTTGGCCGGCATGCCCCGTCGTCATCCTCGTCATGCCATCGACGTGTTCCTCCAGGAAAGCCTCCTTCTCGCCTCTCCCGCCTGCCCTCCCACTCCACCTCCTGCTCCCCCCCCTCCCCGCGCTCCTCCAGGCCTCGTCTTTTCCTTCCTCCTCCTCGGTATCCTCTTTTCTTCCAGATCTCGTCCCACTTCACACTCTTCTCATCCTCCTGGTTCTCTTTCTCTTCTGTCCCATCGCCGTCGTCCTCGGCCTCCTCCTCGTCCTCCACTGACTGTGCGCTTCCTCGCTGCCTCGCCCCGTTGACCCGCTACTCCTCGTCGCGGTGCTCCTCCTTGAGGTGCTGCTCTTCTTACTCCCCCTCCCCCTCCTCCTCATCCCGCCTCCTCCTCTCCTTTCCTCCTCCTCCGGCTCCTTCTTCTCCTCCTCCTCCTCCTCCTCCTCCTCCTCCTCCTTCTCTTCCTTCTCTTCCTCCTCCTCCTCCTCTTTCTCCTCGCGGCGTGACCTCCCGAGGGCGGCAGCCCGGCGTGCGCCCGGCGGGGCCGCGTCGTCGTCGTCGTCGTCGGCGGGGTCGTCGTCGTCGGCGCCGCCGTCGTCGTCGCTGCGCTGGCGTTAAGTCGGGCCTGTCCCTCTCCAGGGGGAATATCCAAAAATTGTCAAAACATGTTCTGGGGATTTGGGGCATTTCTGGGGGTATTTGTTTTGAGCATTTTCAGTTCTTCGTCCAAAATCCTCCTGTAGGGGGACACGCCCGACCTAACGCTGGCGTGGGGAGGTGGGGGCGGCGCCGCCCCGGCGCCTCGGGCGGAACTAGCTTCTACCGCAACGGCCGGACCTTCTCGCGAACGGCAGCTCGGAGCCTGGACCTGCGAGGACGTCTCAGGCGAGAAGGGGCAAAACAAACTCTCGCGCGGGATCTCGGAGCCCATAGTTTCGAGGATGTCTCGGTCGAAACGGGCCAGAGCACCTCGCAGGCGGCATCTCGGAGCTCAGATTTAGGAGGATATCTCAAGCGAAACGCCCCGGGCACTAAATTTTTCTGAGGGCGTCTCAGCGCTGACCTCCCCAGCCAGAACTAACTCCCACCGCGACAGCGCCCCGATCAGCAACCTGTTCGCGTGAGAAAAACCGAAAACGCATTCGTTTGGGGATGATTTTGAGGTTGGGGGGGAGGCAAAGCAGACGCTCGAGTTGGGAAAGGCTTTGGGGCTCGGGGGCTTTTGCACGGAAGACGCGAGGGTCGGCGCGGATTCTGGGTTTGGGAAGGGCTTTGTGAAGGACGCGCTTGGGTCGGGAAGGGCATGAAGGGCTAGGGAGATTTATTCTACACAAAGAAAGAGCCTGGTCTGGGGGCGATTGTGGGGTTTGGGGGGATTTTGCAGAAAAAAAGTGGGTGCGGAATGATTCAGGGGTTGGGAAAGGCTCCGCAAAGAAAGCGCTCGGGTTGGGAAGGGCCGCGGGGGTGGGATGGTTTTAGCAAAGACAACAGCCTGGGCTTTATCTTCCCAGCCCCCAAAGCCTTCCCGACCCAAGCGCGTTTGCCATGCAATCCACCCCAGCCTCGAACTCCTTCCCAAACCAAGCGGCATGGTTGCACCCCCCCAGTCCCCAAATCCTGCCGAATCCCCCCAGATCATTTGTCTTGGAAGCGGTGTGTGTGTGTGTGTGTGTGTGTGTGTGTGTGTGTGTGTGTGTGTGTGTGTGTGTGTGTGTGTGTGTGTGTGTGTTGCGTGTGTGTGGGTGGGAGGGGGGCGGGGGGCCGCGTGGTGTGGTGTGGCGTGGTGCGGTGGTGGTGGTGGTGGTGGTGGTGGTGGTGGTGGTGGCGGCTTGTCCGAGCGGCGCCCAGCCGCGGCGACGAGGGGCCCACCGAAGGCCAACTACCGCTGCCTTGGACGGCCCTCCGCTGAGGATGTGGGGGGAAGTGGGGAAAGGGGGAGGGCGGAGGAGACGACGTCGTCCTCGCCAAGGGCCGCGCGCCGCGCGCGCCGCGCAGGGGGCCTCCGCCGCGCCCGCCGGCAGCCGCTGGCCTGGCGGCCGGCGCAGGCGCGCCCTTGCCGCGGCCCTTGCCCTTGGCTGGGGGCCACCAGCCCGCGGACGGGTCCTCGCGGCGGGGAGGACGACGGCTGCGGCGGCGACGACGTCGTCGCCGTCTCCTCGTCCCTGTACCTCCCTCCTCCTGCCTTCTCCTTCTCCTCCTCCTCCTCCTCCACCACCTCCTTCTCCTCCTCCCACCTCGTCCTCCTCCCTCCTCCTCATCCCTCCCCGTACTCTCCTAAGACGACGCCAGGACGAGGACACAATCGGGTGATGATGATCAATCGAAAATCTCTGAGATCCGGCGGCTCTGGATGATGTCTCGGGCGCCACGGCCTTCTCAGAGCGTTCCAGAACGCTCCGAGAGCGTTCCGGACCGCCCTGGAACAGACTTGAAGAGGAGGAGGAGGAGGAGGAGGAGGAAAAGGAGGAGGAACAGGAGGAGAAGGATGAGGAGAATGATGATGATGGTGATGACGATTTTTGATGATTCTGATGATGGTAATGGTGATGCAGATGATGATGATGGTGCTGATGATGCTGATGATGCTGCTGCTGATGATGCTGCTGATCCTGCTGCTGCTGCTGATGAAGATGATGATGATGATGATGATGATGATGATGATGATGATGATGATGATGATGATGATGTTGATGAGGATCTTGATAGTTGCGATGATGATGATGATGCTCATGATGATGATGATGATGATGATGGTGATGATGCTAATGCTGCTGATGGTGATACTGATCATGATGATACTGATAATGATGATGATGATGATGATGATGATGATGATGCTGATGAGGATGGTACTGCTGATGATGATGATGATGATGCTGATGATGATGATAATGATAATGATAATGACAATGATAATGATAATGATAATGATAATGATAATGATGATGATGATGATGATGATGATGATGCTGATGATGATGATGATGATGATGATGATGATGATGATGATGATGATGATGATGATGATGATGATGATGATGATGATGATGGAAGAGGAGGAGGAGGAGGAGGAGGAGGAGGAGGAGGAGGAGAGGAGGAGGAGGAGGGAGGAGGAGGAGGAGGGAGGAGGAGGAGGAGGAGGGAGGAGGAAGGAGAGGAGGAGGAGGAGGAGGAGGGAGGAGGATGGAGGAGGGAGGAGGAGGAGGAGGAGGAGGAGGAGGAGGAGGAGGAGCGGATCGCACGAACGCACCCAAAGGCGAGTCCCAAAGTGCCTTCTCCTCGTCCCAGCCCCGTCCGATCGCCCTCTTGTGCTCCGCGGCCGCGTGCGAAACACCGCGGCGCCCAGACGCGGCGGCCGGCACCGCTTGCAAGGCGGCCGGATCAGCCGAGGGGAGGGCGGCGCACCCTCGATGGGGGCAGGGCGTGGTCGCGCACCCCTGAGGGCACAGGCTCGACGCCCGCCAGGTGACCCGCAAAGGCGGCGCCTCTCTTGCCATCTCAGACGAGGCCGCCGCCTCTCCGCCGCCAGCTGCTGCCTTGGGCCACGGCGCCGGCCGCGTGGGCGAGCCTCGGCTGGCCTTGCCAGACCTCCTGCAGCCGCTGCGCCACTGACCTGGCCAGCGTCGGCGCCCGCGCGGCCGCCTGCGCGGGCGCCGGCGGGGCGCGCCCATGGCCGCGCCGTGCGTTGGCCTCGCCTGCTGCCACGCGTTCGCCGCTCATGACGGCGCCTCCCCGTCGCCGCTGTCCACCTCCGCGGGCTTCGGCGCGAGCTGCACGGGGTTGCCGACACAATCGTGGGCGACTGGGTGGCGGCCCGCCCTCGCGTGATTGCGGCGCGTCTTGGCGTTCTCGTCACCAGGCTTCGCCGCGCACCTCTCCGCGAGCAGCGCGGCCGGGCCCCCCCAGCTGCGCGTGCGCCGCACGCGTTGCAGAAGACCGCATTGCCCGCGATCGTGGGCACATTGCTGGTGTGTGTTTCCTCCACTGCTGCTGGCTGCTCTCTGCGCAGGCTGCTCTCGAGGTCCTCCTTGAGCTTGGCCCGCGTGCCGCGCCTGTCGCAGCCGTGGGCTGGCGATGCCGAAAGGCCCAGCCACTGTGCGCGGTGGCGCAGCGGGGCCGTCACCAGTTCAGCGGGCCGCACGTCGTCTGGCATGGGGGGCTGCGGCCCCGTCTCTCGCTGGAGTCTAGCCGCCGCTCGCCTGCCCCGGCCGCCTTGCGCCTCGACGGCCCTGCCGTCGAGCTGGCTGTCCGCCGCCCTCTCGGCTGCTTGCCTCGCCTCGCCCGCCCCGCGCCTGGCCCTGCCGCCCTCGACGTAGAGAGGTCGGCGGCGGCGCGGCGCCGCGTCGAGCCGGGGGGCCTTGGCCAGCGGGGCGTCGTCGCTGTCGGAGCCGCCTCCAGCGTCGGCCCGCTGTCGGGGCGCTCCCGAGCCGCTGCAGCTGTCCAGCTCGCCGTTGGTTTCGCGCGCGCGCCGCCGCTGGCTCGCTGGCGGAGCGCGCTGGGCCTCTGGCAGCCGCGGGCCTGCCCCGCTGCCGACTGCAGGGGGGGGGGAGGGTCCTGGCCCCGCGCGCCTGCAGCGCTCCTGAGAGGCCCCCAATCACGCCGCGCGTGGCGCCTCCGCCACCCGCCTGGTCGCAGCCGTCGTCGTCGCAGTCCTCGCTGGCCGAAGCCACGCGTGCAAGCGCTCCAGGTGGCGGTTGCCAATGCAGCAGCCGTCGCCAGTCGTGGAAACCCCTGCGCGTGCTCGCCGCCGCTGCTGCGGCCGGGGCCTCGGGCGACCAGAGGAGTTGCGTCTTCGCCAAGTAGGCGACGCATCCTGAGCTGGGAACCGCGCCACTCGTCCCTGGCATGCCACTCGTCCTCGTTGCCCCCCCGCCGCCCCCCCAGGCACTCGTAGAAGCGCCGCCTCCCGACGGCGCCCTTCTCCCAAGCCTCCTCGCAGATGTCGTGGGTTACCCGGCAGATGAGCTCGTTCCCGAAGAGGATGCGGTCCTGGAGCCGCTCACTCACTGAAGGAAGCGGAGGCAGGTGCAGGTGCTGAGGCGCGCCTCGCACCAGCCCATGCACTCAGCCCTCTGCAGGTATGCCTCACCTCGGAGGCCGATGATCCACATCGCCGCCCATCCCTTGGTCTCGCGTCGGATCTCGGCGTGCTGGTCAGCTTGCGCTGGCACCGTGTCGGGCTGGTTGCGCATGTCGCCGGGCAGCTTCGCGCCGCCTGGCTGGGCCTCGTCGCTGCCCTGCGGCGCTGGATGTGCCAGCGGGGCCTTGCGCGGCCGCTCGGCGCGCGCTGCCCCTTCGAGCTCCTCGCGCCGTTGACGCGCCTCCGCATCTGCTCCCCCGCGCTGTCGCGCGGCTCTCTATTCGCCGGCGCGCTCGCCTGGATCACCCTGCCCGCCATCCTGCGCGACGTGCCTCGCCTCGCACAGAGGGGCGGGGCACGGGTGACAGGCTGCTCCCTCCTTGGCCTCGATGTCGGCCGCCGTGTTGCCGAGCGCGGGCCTCCTTTCCGTCGCGCCGTAGTCCAGCCTTGCGGCCGCCTGGTGGGCTTTGGCCCTGCGGCCCTGGATACTGTCCTGGCCGATGTCGTGGGTGAGCATCCAAATGCCCCTTCCACTGCTCGGCGCGTTCATAGGTGGCTGCACAATGCGCGGTTGGTCACTCGGCGATGACGTCGATCAGGTTCCGGTAGTCGCTGTAGTGCGCGTAGGGCGGCAGCACGTGGCGCAGCATGACCTCGACCGCGAAATGTTCGCCCTCGCCGACCCCCTGCAACCGCCGCGGCGATGGCCCGCGGCGCTCTCCCGCGACGAACCCGACGTGGTCGACTGCGGCGCGACCGAAACCCGCCCGCATGCTGTCGGCCTCTGTCAAGCAGTTGCCAGAGCCGCCCACGAACCCGTCGCCCGCGAATGCTCCTCCTGGGATGTCCGTGCTCCACGCCACCTGCCACTGCCTGATGGGCCTTGGGCTCTCCGTCAGGTTGGGTAGTGGGCACCTACCCCAGAAGGCCTCCTGCGTCGCCGTCAGCTAGTCATAGGGGAAGCCGACGTGGCCGATCTCTCTCTCTCTCTCTCTCTCTCTCTCTCTCTCTCTCTCTCTC